TGAAGTGAAGTCCTGACATCGTCGTGCTGGTAGACAGGGCAGAAAAGATGCAACAAAACAAACATCAAACAAGAAATTCATGCAAGTATAAAATCAAAGGGGTCATCATCAAAGTTGATCATGGAATTTAATTCTGTTAAGTTCTTCTACTGTCTCAAAATACATGCATCTCACATACTACTTCTAAAGGAGGGAACATTTATATTCACATAAGGTTTTTATCTATGGACTTTTTCTTTCCTTGATAGATTTTTCAGAATCCAAACTAAACCATGAATTTACAGCACATGGGCTGTCATTACTACAATCAGCCAGGAGGTGGCCCTTTGTGACTGAAGTAAGAAGGTGCTGGCCCCACATCAGCCTTCCAACAGGAAAACAGCTGCTGTTACATATTATTACTGCGCTGACTGAACACCACTCCTCCCCTTTGACTGTTTCTGAGATAACTGTAGCTTTTACTATTTTGTTTATTTTATCTGACCATGTCATGTCTTTCTATGAGCTCTAAATAAGTCAAATCTTCTAAAACAAAGAAAATAGAAAATCCAGCCTGCGATGTCAATATGTATTTGTCTCTGCTGTGACAACTATATAAACCCTAAGTTTGTTTGTCTCGCTTGGTTTATGATATGTATGCACAGACTATGGAAAGAATTTCCTTCTTGGGGACAATAAAACTGTCTATTTTTGCTACATCTACAAACCCAAATCAGACAAAAGTTGGGACGGTATGTAAAATAAAAATTACAACTGAGTTGTAAGACAGTTGTGAGATATCAACATCAGTTCCATAACTAGAGGCTCTGTTCTCTGAGACCGATGAAAAAGCCACAAGCACAATTTAATTGACTCAGCTGCTTCCATATGGAGTGTAATCACTGAAAAGAAAATAATACCTTCCATGGGGTCTATAGAAAGAATTGGGCAAAAGAAAGCAATGCCCTTTGTTGCTGTTGCCATTTGCATGTGTAAATTAAGTTTTGGCTCAATGTTTAAGGAGACACTGATGCTTTAAATATCAGTAACAACAAGCATATATTATCTTTTTCATAAAAGTGATATATTTTAAGCATAGCTAAAATAGTAAATAAATTGTTGCACTATTGGTAAGTGGTCTTACATATATAGCACTTTTATGTGCAACGACACACACTCAAGGCACTTTTTACACTATTTTCCATTCACGCACACACTGATGGCACAGCCACCAGGAACAGCTTGGGGTTCAGTGTCTTGCTCAAGGACACTTTGGCATGTGGACTGGAGAAGCCGGGAGTCAAACCACCAGCCCTCCGTTTTGGAGACAACCCACTCTACCTCCTGAGCCACAGACAACCAGATCATTGTCTTATACTATGTAGGCAATAAACTGCAAAATACCATCTTCTCCATTGAACACAAAGGTTTCAATGGCAAATTTTTACACTTGAGAATTTACCAGGAAGCCAAAACTGGGTATATTTTCAAAGGTGACTAAAACTTTTTTTTTTTGAGAAAAATTCTGTTGTGGTTCTTAGATTGAAGTAATAGGCAGTAGAGGAGGTGAGTAAGCATAAAAATATGATGTCACAATCTGTAACATTAGAAGATTTGAAAGGTTTTACAATGACAAAATAAAATTAAACAATTTAAAAATAAGATTTCAGTGTCTGACACTCTGATCACAAATGTGTACACTAGCTTATCAGTCAAAAGTCTGGACACTGAATTGGAAAGTATGTCCAGACCTTTGACTGATAGTGTATATTGCCACATTATATACACTTGTGAATGTAAAGTACAGCTAAAAGCATGTTCCAAACAATCTAATAAAAGTCGGTCAGGCTCTCCATGACAAGGACATAGTTTTGCATATGGATGGTAGGGACATGTTTCTACCAATATTTAGGGAGGACAGAAATGTCCCTACCAATATTTAAGCAAACCCGTGCACATTATCTTTGGAGTGGGGTCATATTAGATCATTCTGATGTGCTTGACGGACTGAAATGGAGGAGGCGATCTAAAGCTCACATTACATGCAAATGTCATATTTTCTCCCAGACACAGAGGCGATAACTGTTGGTCAGTGTGTTGACAAGGGCATATTATAGTGGCTGACTTGGGTAAAGTTGGAAAAATATTCACAGATTTGAAGTTTCCAGATTAATAAGTCATAAGCAAAATGTTGATAGAATACAAACAATGCCTCTATTGTTTCATAGTAATGTAAACAACAAGCTACAAGTTCATTTAATTTCAAAATGAGCCGTCCTCTGCTCCAGACAAATGGCACATGGTCTCAATGTACAGCGGCCGTGAGACAAGAGCGCAGGGACCGTCTACAAAGTGCAACACTGAAAACAGAGAGGCCTACTACAAAAACATTCAATAACTTTACTCTTACCCAGTGTAGTGTTTTCAAAATGACTTCACACACCAGTGGCCATCTGCTGATTATACTACAACCCTTAGTTAGGAAAAACATGTTTTTTCATAATTTGGGGGAATTTTTATTGGGGAAAACATTTAGTAACTTCACTCATACACTGTTGTGTCACCAAAATCACTGCACACATTAATGGCCATCTACTGATTGTACTACAACACTTAGTTTGGAAAAAATCTGCTTTTGTATAATGTTTGTGAATTTTGATTTGGAAAAATATTCAGTAGCTACACTGTTAGACAGTGGTGTCACCAAAATCACTCATTATCATGTAAAAGCTAGAAACCCCATGAAAATGAATTATTTTGTATGTAGGAAGCAGCAGCAGGCTGGTGAGAGAACAGGAGGATCTTCAGTGTTCCAGGTGAGCCTCTAATTCTGGTTGGGGGGTATGATTTGTCCCTACCATTGTTGGGACCAAACCTATGCCCTTGCTGCGTAATTACATTGATGCATAAACACACCGGTTTCCATAAGCATCATGGACACTGAACACACCCATGACCTGAATAACTTGCGAATAGCTAGGTTGTCTCAAGGCAGATCCTCATTACTGACACATTTGTCTGTTTTAGTTAGTGCAGACTAACAATATGCTGCTTAAACCCCTTTTTTTAATTGTCAGGAAATAAACATTTTCCAAATTAACAGAAACATCAGGCTCTATGTTCCATCAGTGAGGTTTCAATGACATGTTACAAAAGCTGAAGCAGTGTAATTTATCATATTAGCCATATAATGTGGAAATGTAGGTGATTGTTTACTTGCCCTTTGCTATTGCTGTACATAAGGATATGTACAGGAACATTGAGAGCCGCTGTACCAGAGTCAAATTCCTAGTGTGTCCTACACACCTGGCCAGTAAAGCTGATTCTGATTATGAAGGCTACCTTTTGTACAGTTTGTCCCAACCAGGCATTCATAGCTCACATTAGAGCTTCAGGGAACAGGATGGGAGGGGCAAAGAGCAATAAGGAGTGGTGTGTAATGTGAGTTTGTTTTTTCCTATTTTGCCGAATGGTCAGTACACCAATGCTTCAGAACTTATCTTTGACATTTCCATACTGCCATACTATTTCTTGTTATTCTTTGGCCACACTGTAGGCCAGTATGCAGTACCCATGATAATATGGCTGGAATATTGTCCTGGCCAATTTATTGGTCAGGCTGTAATGCAAACTTGGCGAATTGCAGGTATCACTATCATTTGACAGATTTGGAAAGATCTGGATGTGGAAAAGATCTGGTAAGTTATTTAGGGCAGTGGTTACTGCTGTCACCTCACAGTAAGAAGGTTCCAGGTTTGAGCCCGGGCCATCCCAGGGCCTTTTTCTATGTGGAGTCTGTATGTTCTCCCTGTGCCTGCGTGGGTTCTCTCCGTGTACTCTTGGCTTCCTTCCACAGTCCAAAGTCATGCAGCTTAGGTTGACTGGTGACTCTAAATTGCCCCTAGGAGTGAGTGTGTGTGTGGTTGTTTGTCTACATGCCAACCCTGTGATAGACTGGTGACCTGTCCAGGGTGGATCCTGCCTCTTGCCCGATGTCAGCTGGGATTGGCTTTTCTTTGCAGCATGTATTGGCCTTAACATTAGTGCTGTGGACTTATCTGTCTGTAATTGGTTCATTTCTTTTTGTTTTCTGTTCATTAAGGGAGTTCCTCCAATTTGATTGATGAGCCGTCCACTGCCGATGACACTCTAATGCTCTCTTTCCCAGGTAGATAAAACAATTTAAGCTTTTTCCCATAGTTTTAAAATAATACATAGACCTATGTTATTTGTTTCAAATATTATAATATGGTATGCAGGCTATATAAAGACAATAGAGCTGAAACTTTGACTTTAATATTTGCAAACACTTTTTGATTGTTCTTTATTTCTCCTTATGCCCATTGACAGGTAGTCAAAGTGTTCATTCTGCAGCCCTACCAGAAGAGACCCCCTATTTGGTGCTAGAGGGCCTACAACACAACCAGACAGGCTCAAGCACACACTCTGCTAAACACACACTAACTGATACTCATTCACCAGAAGAAACTCATATGAAAACCATGTCCTCTGCAGACACAGAAACACATACAGGTGTACACTCAGACATGCTCACAGATACTGACACACACTCAGACACACACACTACCATCTTGGTCCAGCTGCAACAGGTGTCTGCAGTCCAGGCAGCCAACACTGAAAGGTACAGCATGAGGGAGCAGCTATAGAGAAGATATTAGCTTAAAAGTCACTGATACCATTATACGCAGTTCAGGAGATGATAATGACATGAATCTTTAGTGTTTATTGTATTACTTGTACAGTAACTGGGATCATCAGTCATTTACTCTGTGCTTATAAGTACTACATCTCAAAGTGTTTAGATATTTCATGCTGAGGAGAATTCAAATTAATCCTGTGATTATTCCCCACATGATTTTTTTGTGGCAGGTTTATGTAACAGTATGGTGTATAAGAATGAAATGAGCCATTTGAACCAGTTTGTACAGTGATTTAATTTGTTTGTGTGTATATTTACTGTCGAGCTGCTATACTTACATTAGAGAACAGTTCATCACCAATTCAAGTTTAATCCAAGTGTTGTGGTTTGTGTCCTGCTTCCTGCTTTGTGCTTTCATTTTTGGTTCGGGTTTGGCTTTGTCTTCTACACTAGGCTGCGACACAACCTGTGGAAAAATGAGGCTGTACGAAAACGTTCAGAACACCTACAATTAAGGACTGGACAACTGTAACAAACAAACAAACAAACAAACAAAGTAGTGAGAAAGCACAATGAAACCACAGCGGGGTCTTGTGCGCGTGCCCGTGTGAGACCAGAAGGCGTCACAAAGGGGGTCGCAATGGGAGGAGGAAGGAGGGCACAAGGAGCGAGGACGGGAGCGGAGGTGTTGTTGGTCCATGACATGAATGAAACATGTTCGCTAACGGAGGCATAGCTCTCCCGGTTTGCTCCTTCCTCCTGCTGCACCTCCCGGTTGTCCCGCTAGTCAACAACTGGCCCGTTAAGGTAAATAGCAGCTTGTTCCCCTCACAATGCTGTAGGGATTGGCAGTGGTTGGAGTTAGGAAGGCGGACTGAGTAGTTTGGGCCAATGGAGCACTTTAGTTGCTTTACAAGTATTTTGCATTGCTTGTGGTGAAGAGCGCGGTCTCTGTGTTAAACGTATTAGTTCCTGGAGCCATTTTTCAATTCGGCTATGAGGTTAATTAACTGAAACACGACAGTGTCTGAATCCAGCTTAATTTCCGTCCCCAGAACAGCCTGGGCTTCGAACAACCATAGCATGTGTAACCATACTTAGTGTTCGCAAAGGTAAGCTAGTGTTAGGTTACCAAGTGCTCCCCCTTTGTCGAAGCTCCCAGAAAAGTCCAGACTTTGTTGAATAAAGATTTGAGGGATGCTTGGGTGCGTTAAGGAATGAACGGCTCTCAGACCTATTTACATTAGGCCATAACTAATGCTAATAAATAATAAATAATGCTGCAGCCTGTTAGAAACTGTGTTTGGCCTGTTCTTTCTCCAAACCAGTTAAACTGTTGACGTGTATACAAACTGCTTTGTTGTTGGGTGTTGCTTGTATCTGAGGGTATGTTGTTTTATTCAAACTAGGGATGAGGCTCCATAGTGGGTTTTCCACAGCTGAATTCAATATCCAGGCCCGGACCCCTTTGGATCCTTGATCAAAACCAAGTAGTTTGCTTGTTAGTGTGGGACTTGTTTCACTTAATTTCACTCAGTAGGCCATAGTACCAAACAACTTTTATCTGATTTGTAACAAAACGTGCTGAACATCTAAGAATCTGGCTTGTTCTAACAGGCTATAGGACAACTAGTGATTTGAATTAGGAGTTAAAGGCCAGTCACCAGTAAGTTGAGGAGGGCCAGTCACGTGACAAGCATGACACTGGCACTAACTGAAACCATATCAAAGCCAAACTAAAGACTTTCTGCTGAGCTGAAGGGTTCTAGGGCTTTTACCACAGATTTTAGTCACTGCTCTGTTTCATTCATTTCATTTTCATGTTTGCTCCTCACTGGGGGCTGTGCTGCAGCTGCACAAAGTAATATAGATTCTACTTTTACCATTCAGTGAAGATCAGTTTAATAAACTGCATATGTTTTACATGCACCATGTGCTTTTTGCTAAGTGAAGGCAAAATGTATTGTGTCGCTACAGGTCACAGAATCTGCTGGATCACAAATGGCGATAATTTTGACACCTGAATTTGATTTAGTTTTAGTCTTTTGACAAAAATGCATATTATCTTTACTTTACTTTAATTTTAGTCGTTAGATTTTTGTTAGTTTTAGTTTGAGTTAAAAGCTAAATGCATTTTAGTCTAGTTGTCATTTTTAAACTGCATTTTTCATATTTACTGAAGAGGGTATCTTCATCCTGGTTGCGTACAGTTACCATGGTTACACGCGTTACTCCCGTCTATCATGAGGTCTGTGGAAAACAGTGGTTTATTCACACAGTGTCCCTCTGCTCTGCAGAAGTTGGACTCACTCACATTTGTACTAAGATCGTCTTTACTGCGTGCAGCGTGAGGTGATGCTGAATCGTCAGGTAACATTAAAACAGTGAGATCTCTGCAGCGAACATTTAGAGATGATTTATGGTTGACTGCCCATATTAAACCTGGACCTGGCTGATAGCAGAACAAAAGATAAAAGGAACATTAATGTCCCATCTGATTCACATCTGGCCGCTTTTAACGCTGTCCATCTCATAAAGCCAAACTGATGTTAACCCTGGTTTTTTCTCTTTCTTTGCCCCCCTCTTCGGTCTGGCAGCCACTGTTTTGGACTTTTGACTGCTCCTGTATGGCTAGATGTTGGAAATGATTACTAATAGTTTGAAAAAATGCTTCTTAAACTTTCGCTGGGTGGTGGGCGGTGCAAATTTATGGGGCGTACTTTGAAAGGATTAGAAAAGCTGGAATAACAACAGAAGGGAAGCAGAGTGTCATGGAGGGGTTTAGTATAGCTGAGAGACATAATGTCCTGTCCTGTTTTCATTGGATTTATCAATGTGTTAATGCAGCTTTAAATACATGTATGACACTTAGGTCATATGGTAACTGAGTTACATTTGACAGTAACGTACATAGGTAACAATGTAATTGGATAAAAAAAACAAACACAAACTGGGAAGTTTGCGTAGGGTAAACAGTCGATTGAACAGATGAATTTGGTTCCCTGCTTACAGACATGTTTTTTTTCCTCTGCTGTCTTAACACCACCACCACTCACAGTTCTTCATCTAAACCTTAAATACTTCCCTGTTTCTGTGCACATGAATGAATTGAAAAGTCATGGCTCAGAGAAAGCTGATAAAATGTCACACATTTGTCTGGTTAGGACTGAGGTTATCAGTCCTTTAATTCTGGCCAATAAAAGAATAAATGTATTGTGAGTGGCCCTCGGGCAAAGACGTCACATTTCTGCAAGTTTGTGTTCTGCTTATTCAACAGCTGTTTGATAAACTGCTCATATAGTTTCTGTTAATGGCTGATTGGTCCACTATGGAGTGGTCCTTCATGTCCCCTGTCCTCCCTCTGCTCAGTTTTGAGTGCGAGAGGGGAGCAGTCCACCTCTCCTCTAAACAGAGACCAACACAGTGAAAAAGCAGTGGAAAGGCAATATAGAATGTTATGGCAAGCACAGGGTGTACTGCTAGTTAGGTTCCAACAGTGGAAACGCAGCTTATCCCAACGATATCCGATTTCAGTTGTAGAAAGAATGGCACGAGTGTGTTGGGCTGTTGAATTACACTAGAAAGAACTAGACAAATAGAGGATGCCCCATGGTCTGTTTTGTACTCCATAGCTCCAGCTTGTGCAGAAACCTGCTGCTGGATTTTAACTAAACGCATTCATTTGAATTTTGCAACGCTGGTGTTAGTTGATTCATTAATGATGTCATTAATGGTCATCTCCAGGCCTTCATTTAGTCTGTTCCAGTGAGTCATCCCACCAAACAAACTTTTTTACATCAGACCCGCTGTCATCTATGAAACACTGGCTCTGATAGCAGCTTTGATAATAAACAACTATTGCTTTTTTCAGCTCACACATTAGACACGACAGTGGTTTGTGTGTGTATGTGTTGAATTAGCCAGAGGGTAATCTGACAGAGTAAGGAGCTTGTGTAGGCTTGTTTGAGATAACACAGTAATGGGGCTTTGAGCCTCTGTGTGTGTGTTTGTCAGTTGAAGGGCTTGCTGAAATGAAATGTCAGTAATTCATTTTTTTTCCCTCCATGCTCACTTTGAGCAAGACACAGGTGCTGGTTGATGACATGATGCACCGTTTTTCTTTTGCATGCATTATTTTATACCAGTGATTTTCAGCATAGTAGAAGAAAAGTAAAACAGTCCTGTTGAGCATCAGACTGTGTCCTGAAAATGTCTATAGAGTATTTTATTTTGGTTTTGGTCTTGGTAGTGAATATATATCTATTAGGAAAGTGAAAATTACTAAAGGGTTACTAAATCAAATGGAAACAGAACCTATAAAAAGTACCAGGCCAGCTGTCTCTGTCCATGTAAGCAAAACCGCTGTATTGTTTAGAACAGATGAGTGGTGGTGAGCTGGGAGGGCTGCTTAGTCCAGCTGCTTGGCCCAAAGCAAACATTTAGAGATTCAAGAGGTTTTATTTCCCATTTCTACATGTACGGACAGTACAGGTGCATAGGAGTTCTTTGTGCACAAGCTCTTGGAGTCAAGACAAGGAACAACCAAATATTATATAAATAGATATAAAGGCAAATCTAAAAACACTAACATGCAAACTACAGTACAACTCACTGTAGAGTGCAAAATAGAATATAATACAGTGAAATACACACTATAAAAGAACAGTAAGAATGCACTTTAAACATTATAAACATTGTAAATACTACTGCTTTCATATCAGATATGGAGAATATTGCACATTTGTAGTTTTATTGCACTATAATAATAATAAGGATAATCACTGTACCTGGCCAAGTATGTTACACACACACACACACACACACACACACACACACAAGGAATTTGTTTCCGGTACAGAACCAAGACACCAGCTCACAGCTCTAACCATCGGGGGCAACTTTGGGGTTTAGTGCTTTGCCCAAGGACACTTCGCCATGTGGACTGCAGTGATTCGAACGTCCAGCTCTCGGGTTGGGAGACGACCGCTCTACCCACTGAGCCACAGTCGCCCCTCACTATATCTTAATGATAAAAGATAATGTGAGGTAGAATTGAAATAGAGTGTAAAAACTTGTGATCTTACTGGGGTGACGACACATTTTTCCTGTTTATCTTGTGTTTTGTGATCAGTTTGATTGCGGCTGGAAAGAAGCTGTTATAACACTGTGCTTTGTGTGTGGTAATGCTGTCCGGTCTGCAGTGTCTTAGGCTGTATGCTGAGCGCTTATGGTTGAGCAGAGAGTGAGCAGGGTGGTGTGTCCCTGAGGATGCTCTGTGCTTTATCCTGCAGCATTGTGTGTAGAGTGTCCATGGATAGGAGGTCAGATCCAGTGATCCTCTCTGCAGTCTTAATGACTCTTTGGAGAGCCTCCATCTCTGCCCGGGTGGTTCTCTCACACCAGACAGTGATGCTGTTTGTGAAGATGTTCTCTAATTCTTCTGTAGGCCTGGGTGAGGGGGCCACGGCTAAGTCCGGCCTTCCTTAGCAGGCTGATGAAATAAAACCGCTGCTGGGCCTTTTCACTGGAGCCAAAGTGTTTTTTGTCCAGCTCAAGTTTGTTGTCACATGACGGCCCAGAAACTAGTGACCGTCAGGTCTCTCCATCTCAGTCCCCTTGATGATGAGAGGCTGCACACAAAAGCACATTTTTGTGATTAACAACCAACATCTTATTAAATACATTTACTGCAAGGTGATAGTCAGATGTATTGGGCATAATTTCACTAAGAGTGTAACTACCTCTGCTATTTTTGTACCTGCTGGGTAGTTGCATACTAGCAACACAGAACACCTGTACTAGTTATGAACAGTGCTGGGAAACTGCCTCTTCTGATGTGAAGTAACTGATAGCTTTCACATAGGAAAAGTTAAACTACAGCAAAGCTAATCTAGAGAGAAATGTACTTTTGGTAAACCAAAGTTACTTAGAAAGTAGTGACAATATATATGTGATACAAAAAAAAAAACACATGCAAACAAGAAAATTCCACTTGATTGTGAGTTTATTTATCGGAGACAACAAACTTGTCCTAAACAAAATGATCACATCTGGGCTTTTCATAATGATATTATACATTTCTTGTAAACATTTGTGTGTGTATATACAGTATATATTTGTGTCCAAGTGCACCTTGACCATTTCAGTGACTTTAACGTTGAGCTAAACAAATATGTCCAGCTCTGCCTCCTTGCAGTCTGCTTCCTACTGCTCTGGGTGTGCCTGTTTGTTCCTGTCCTTAGTAGCTAAGCAGACTGGGGCCGGGCCAGTACCTTGACAGGAGACCGTTTGGGAACTTCTGGGGGAGACCTGTAATGCAAACACCTCTGCAGCCCACCTGCTGGGCTTTCTTCATTGGGCCACTTTCCTGTTTCATCCATCTCCTCAGCAGGTTGCCTACCTGCTGCCTTCTCACCACCTCTACCATTTTCCTGAACAGGCAGCCTTGTACTTATTGTCATTACAGCCTCTTACATTTTCTGACCCGTCTCTGTGTGTTGCATTTGGGTCCTACCGAAACCCCAGTCAGGGCAGTAGTAGATTTTACCTCATGCAGGTTCAGTTGAACGAGTTACTATGATCTCACATGTGCTACCTAATGCTGTGAACGTCTTGTGGAACTTTTACATCGTTGAGGTAGGTTATTTTCACCAGTTACATAAAGAGTCAGTTCAACTAAGATTATATTTGTGATATCCATCAATGTGTTTAGCCCAATACATGGGTACATGTGTTCCATGTCCGTGTGTATGTGGTGTGTATCTGCCAGGACAGAAGTGAAGGAAGGCTGGAGCGGCGTAACATCCATCTACAGTCACACAGCCGTGGTAGTCAGAATGTGAAGCAGACGGGAAACAAGGTACTTTTAATTACACATTCACACTATTTTTAATAATATTTTAATAATGCTCCCTAAGTCTAGTTTGTAAATGAGTTTCATATGTTAAACCTCTTTCTAGTTGAAATGTTTGCATTGTTTTTTCTGACTGTTGTGCTGTGTATGTTTTCTCCCAGGAGGAAGTATTTCAGTGGTGGGGGGAGTGGTCCACTTGGTCTTCTTGTTCCAGAAGCTGTGGAGGAGGAGTGAGAAGTCAGGAGAGGCACTGTCTCATACAGAGGTAATGTACCTAGATGGAACATGTTTTCTGATGTTACTCTCAGGACCCACTGGGCAAGCGTAATGTTAGGGTATGTGAAGGAGACCATCTGTGGTGGCTCACACCAGGCACAGGTCGATTCAGTGCGATTCTCAAATCCCAGATCCAGAAGGAGCAGTGTGTAGTTTGTCCTGGTCTTGGAACAGCTTTTGTGACTAGAGGACTGTCACAGTAGTTTGCTTAGCCAGCCAACATGTGTTTTGTGGACTAGGAGAAGTAGCAAGTAGTAGAGTTGTGGTCTTGTTCACAAATGAGGGCACAATGGAGTGTGAGATCAACAAGCTGATTGGAGTGGCAGTGATACAGGCATTTTACCAGGCTGATTGCATTTCATTTGAAGTTATGCAACTGTGTAGGAAAATAAGACCCCGATCTTTACAGTGAAAGACACAATTTGGGTTGAAAAGAGTACTTGGGTATTTGATAGGACACAAGGGCATATATGGAAAGGAATGTACACAGCAATGAACCACTGTTGAAAAGTGAGTAGAGCCTATCCCAGCTGACATTGAGCGGGAGGCAGGGTACACCCTGGACAGGTCGCAAGGCTTGGGTGAGAGAACATTGACACAATGTGTGTTTGTGGCCATCTTGTTACCTTCGACCTCCCCCTGTCAGACTTGTTTCTGTCAGCCAAGATTAACACCACTCTGCTCTTACTATTGATCCTCTGTCTCTCATCTACTTCCCACACCTTCTCCTGTTTGCCCTTTTACCCACCTTCCTTTTTTCACTATTTTTTCTCATTTCAACTTTTTTTTCCCCACTGTTCACTTCCTTTTATTGCTACCCTGTTCACCACCTCCTCTGTTTCCCTCTTCTCTACTGTCCTCCCCTCATCACCTTCTACCAATGAGACGTGACCCTCTTACATAGTGACCTCCCACTCACATCTTCTTGCTGTCTCCACTGCTTCACTAACAGTGTAGGAAGATAGACGGTGTATGGGTGGGTGAGGGTGCAGTTAACGTGGTAATGAAAGACAGATGCATTAACTCCATGTTGGATTTCTGTAGGTTCCCCCCAACACACATACTGATTTAGAGTCATAAACTACAACATGCTGACAGATTAGTGTTGGTACAGCTGGTGCAGACATATGTTACTTGTTGCACAGCTTGGCAAACTTTTAAAGCACAGTAAACCTTGGTTTTAAGTCAATTATGAGATCCTTACTCCTTTACTGTCAGAAACTTGCCAGTATAGTCACACAGCTACAGTAGAAAACTAAATGAGCAGTAGCAGGTATGACATTTTTACAGTGTTTCCACAGATGGATATCTCACAATGCCCACTTTGGAACTGTGCAAAGGTTATGATCCAGCAGGTTCGTGGTACCGCACAGGCCTGCTGGATCATAACTACATTTCAAATCATAGCTACATTTCATCATTAGCTTTTAGTATTAACACAAGCTTATAGACATTATTTGGAAAATCATAGTTATATTTTGATTTTCCTGTCAAACCTAACCAAAAACATGTATTATGTGTTTTGTTTTTTTTGGCCATTGGGACAACAAAACAAGCAAACACTTCATTGGTACATCACCATCTTTTATAGTTGCTGTAGCGAAGGTGTTTGTGAAAGTTACCCGTTTACACATCCAGCAGACTCAGAACATTATACACATTCATTTGGAGTTAAGTTTGTTTTCACCCCATAGACATAAAGTCAAGATTCACTATAATATAAAATAGTTGATTAGTACAGCTTTAAATCTGCTCAGCACTATACAAGTGTATATACTGGACTATTTGAATGTACTGAGTGCTTTGTGGTGTGCCAAACTGATTCACTGAGAGAAATGTAGAAAAAAGGCATCAAGATTGACACCCTAAATATCTTTCAAAGCTCTGAGTGGTAATTGTGCACAGATTAACTAGGGTTTACAGTTTACCCTTTTAGCTCCAAGTGGCAATGGAAGTCAGCAATATGGATAACATTACCGTTATTGAACGTGCTGTGTGAATTTGTGCCAAGTATCTGAGGAGTACATCTTGTTTTCTCATAGTGGCAGCTGCTCCAGCTTCTTGTTGCAGAACTCTTCACTATGAGCCCTAAATGTCAATGCTTATTCTACAAAGAAACAGGGATGCACGATTTGCCACATATGTTTGTGTGGGCAGGAAACCAGTGTGATGAAAGGAACAAATGTTAAGAACAACCATCTTTTCCTGAAGCCAAACCTCTGGTGTGCAGTGTATAATGGCCACATTTCCAAACGCCTACTAAGCGGTGGCTGTCCAACTGGCAGCTCACAGGCTTAGCTGTCATGTCTCATCTTAAAGGCCACAAAATGGTTTTTTTCTTAAATAAAAATGCTTATTGAATATAAAACATTCTTATATTTGACTGTTTTTAATAGCCAGAGGAGAACTACAATGTTACATCTGACAGTTACAATGTCACATCTTTCTTGTACATGAACTTTTATATGGTGTAACTGGAGCATACAGGAAAGAGGTGCACATAGAATAGGTTCTCAGGCCAACAAATGGTCCTCTCTCTGTGATACTCAAACGACAGTGCTGGATGTGAAGGTTTTATGCATCTTGTGTGTTGTAAGAGCGAATATTAACCACTGTATACTGTGTGTTATGTTGTATCCTGTCTCAGGCTATCTACCACCCAGAATGTAAACAGTTCATACTGTGATGGCTCTTCTAAACAATACCAGCTCTGTCCAAACCAGGTATGATGCTATGCCGATACTGAGGTTAAATGGGAAAGGTGGTAAAAACCTGGCTATTTTTGCTTGAATAGAACCATAGGTATATTTTCTGTGTTGTGTGTGTGTGTGTGTGTGCATGTTTTTGTTGTTTTCCAGTCCTGTCCCAACCCCAGCATTAGTTTTAAACAGCACCAGTGTTCCCAATTCAACTCTAAAGCCTTTGGAAGAAGATACTACCAGTGGATACCTCTATATCCAGGTATGATATAACTCTAGCAGTCTTTCTTCCATCTGTTTGTATCTCCATTCAGCTATGTCTTCGACACAGTCAATGGAAACCACAGTCCCTTGGTATGGCCTCTCTCCATAGTCTCCTGGCTCTCTAAAGGACAAACATTTACAATTTGCATGTTGTTATTTCTTGAATAAATGGAAGTAAACAGTTGCATACTGTAATATGTGTAATTTCTTGTCTAGCTGACTACATCAGCATCTCCAATAAGCCATGTGACCTGCAGTGTACAACCATTAGTGGTGAGCGACAGCTGCTAGTGCCTGCCCATGATGGTACCTTTTGCCACGATACTAAATACCATGGAGTCTGTATAGAGGGAATATGCCAGGTAATCCAACCAAGGAAAATTGTTTCATTTTTTTCTTTAAGAATGACCAATATTTATAATTATTACTGCAAAAACATTTGCTCCTACGCCTTGTCTACGTACAACATTTAAGCTGTTATTGATGCATGAGATGCAACCAGTACACTCCTGTACTAATCAGTCCAGCAGTCTACACTGCCTGCATATAACTCGCACTTTATGCATGTAGCTGTGACCTGAAGCATATTTTTCCACTTCAGGTTTATTTTTTCAGCGCTATGGGTGTAAACACTCCACAGAATCCACCAAAACAATGAAGACTCGTTGGTTTCAATGAGAGCTCCAGCAGAATACATCAAGTAACGACAGTGGAAACACATGATCCATCTGTTACATCAGTCCTACTGAGCATGCAGTTCTTTTTAAAGTGTCTGTAGGTTTCATTTGCTGTATTTTGTCATGGGTTGGATACACTATACATAGTCTACATGCAAGTGTACCCAGTAATTACCTCATTGTCTACTACATGTCAGAGTTTGGGATTATAGTTTTTCCTTTTCCAAAGTGTTTGTGTGGGATCCTCTGTGTACACCAAGCACTTCCAGTGTGTGAGTGAACATGCACCCAGGGTAGATACGAGTGTTAGCCTCTCGTAAGATGTTACAGGCTACGCTTTTGGTGTAAACACGACTTCATACTTATTTAAAGCCAGTGTTTCCTGTTGATGAGAACAACTGACTGTCTGGATGAGTGAAGCCTCTAAATAACTAAAAGGCTAAGTGTTTTACATATTTTATCTTCTCCTGCAGCCTGTAGGTTGTGATGGGGAGCTGTACAGCAGTAAGGCCGTAGACAGATGTGGAGTATGTGGAGGCAATGGGACATCATGCCAGCGCATCTCTGGATCATACAGGAAGGCATTCACACAGTTAGGTAACACACACAGACACAAGTATAAATTATATACTGCTATGATTAAAGTCAAGTTATCTAGTGTTGACTTTGATTACACTGACTACACAACAACACTAAATATACTGACAATGTTTTCCTCTCAGCCCTTGTGGTATCGATCAATGCAGACTATTTTGGTTTGATCTGTCTAGGGAGGTATTCCATAATTTGGGGGGAACTCTGAGTTTTCATATCCAGAGCAGCTGATCAGAGTAAGTTGAACCAACTCTGATTACATTCACTCTGAGTTAAGTGTGTGTGAGGTGTATAAAAAGTCAACATCAATGGAGCTCTGATACTACGATTCACCATGTTAATGGGTAAATAACGAGTAGAGCCTCCTTTTAATCTACTGCACTAAGAAATATTCACGTGTAACAATGTACATTTATGAGTCAAAGTAACACAATTACATTTTATTCCGCATAGTCAATTTAACAGACTTGAATTTCCTTAATGAATAATAAAGTGATGGAATTCTGCTGTTTACCTTAATTTGTTAACCTAATGGTGGCAACACAGAGATGAAGTTGAACAGATAAGTGCTTTATTTGAAAGTGATTACAGTAATGTACAGGAGATGTTTCAGTGCTGGGGAGCTGATTGACAGCCTGACAGTTGTTTTAATGTCTAGAGAGTCAATGCACCTGCAGGATTATATTTCATAGTGCGCACAAGAGCTGCCTATGGCAGGGTACCTCTTGTTTTAATGAGAAAGTTTTCTCATTATAAGATACTTTGCTCATTTTTATGAGATACTTTCACATTAAACCTACTTAATGTTATTATGACATACTGTATTTTCTTGTTATAAGCACATAGGCTATTTTGTCACTATAACAACATAGCCTAATGCGTTTTCTCGTAATAACGTGACCCCTGTACAGCGTGCATCCTGGCTCTTGAGCAGCACCTCATTCAGTTCAGCAGTCTCTCTCTCTCAACAGCATCCTGCCATACCAACTTTCCACACACTGACCAGCGTTGCACTCAGGAGGTGCGCTCCAGCGTCGTCCTTGAGAATCACTGATCTGACACATAAATCCAAGCACAATAAATAGTCCTCCAAATAACACATGAACGCAGCTCCTGAGCCATGATAAATAAAAATGCCCTGCATATGTCCTGATGTTGGATGCATTATTGACAGCTGGTAGTGTGCAGCTGTCTCTGACTCCAAGCTGTGCAGGGCTCACCTTAGACAGTAGAAATTATATGACCCACTTTAGCGGTGTGCTCTATCATATTAGATAGCTCTTTGGGCCATGCATTTAAAACTGTATTTCACTATATATGCTATGTGTTAATTGTACCGTGTCCGCCAGACACAGTGGCGTAAAAGTCCTCTCCCCACCTATATACTGAACAAGCAGGGGACAAGTGGGGAGAGAGAGATGGGACCACAGGCGGGTAAAATCATTAAAAAGCACATATACGCACAGTGGGTACAGAACTACGGCTGCAGGCACCACTGCACATTCTGAGCTGAGGATAAATCTGCAACAAAGATCTGGTATGAATGTGAGGACAGACCACTGTTTTTGTCCATACATTGATGACTAGTCATAAAAGCGGTAACATTAGTACAGATGAATCTTTGGTAACAAACTAATAGGCTACTGTCCAGCTAAGATTTATCTTCTTCTCCTGGAGTAAACCTTTGAAAATTGATGCACTTTGATATGAACTGTATGACTGACGAAATGTAATGAGTTTTCAGTAAACCCACTTCCTGACATACACTACCTCCCGATTTTGAGATAGCTACCACTGGGACTTCTCTAGTCAGCCCGATGGTGAACGAAAGCATAAAAAGGGTATTTGACATTATTTTTTTAGTTGATATGAAAGTTTTCACAGTGAAATCAGAATTATCCTTAATAACAGGGTTTGAGTTTTAGCTATGTGTGGCTCTAAATGTGACAGTATTAGTGTGTTGGTCCATGTGCTGCTTTGTTCCATGACTGAAATAACTCAGAATCTTATTGGATGGATTGCTATAACATTTTGTACAGACATTCATGGTCACCAGAGGATGATGACTCCTCACTTTGGTGATCCTCTTTCATCTAGCATCATCATCATAAGTTTTTAATTTGTCCAGTACTTTGGTTTTTGATTAAACCTAAAAAAAAAGAGAGATAGAATTTAGCTCGAAGCACTGCTGTGCCTTAGTACAGCTTCAGGGAGCCACTGTTATGGCTGTAAACCCTTAAGTCTTGGTGATGCTATGACCAGCAAAAACTGTGATCCATTTTTTTTCATTGTATTGGGCCTAAAATTACTAGTCTCTTAAAACTTTAAACTGTGTCAAAATCAAAGTATCTGCATGCCTAGATATCACAAAGTTGGAACCTATGTTTTTTAAAATTCCAGGGAAGGTGAGATGAAATGAACCTGACACGTATACTGTTGAGCATGGTGTCGACACTGTGTTCCAAAAGTAATGTGTGTTTTGGACCTTTTAGCCATGTTATTGTTTGTTGTTTTGTACACAGTTCACAATGAGAGGTTGCATCAGACAATCATACCTGTGTCTAAAGTAGGTATTTTTATCATCAGGCTATATGTTCATCACCAACATCCCAGCTGGAGCAAAAGACATTCAGATCATAGAGAGACACAAGACTGAGAACATCCTGGGTGAGAACCTACAGCTTTAAGGTTGATATGTTGAGTATTAAATTACCACATTTAAAGCACAAAAGTACCACTGTAGCAGTAGGTCTAGAATGTTGTTTATTGTAAAAAAATATATATTTTTAAATATCATTATGAGATAAGCTAGGCTAAACCTGGTCTGGACCTATATTTGTACAGACTGTGCACAGATAATTTAGATCTTCTAATCTAACAGTTTGGTAATTGGACTATTCCAAAATAAGACCCAATATTGTAGGTGTGGGGATATGGGTGTAGATACTGTATGGGTTCTGATCCGGTTTGGAATGTCACTGTCTTAGTCCCACCCCCTGATGTTTCCACTCCTATTTAGCCCTGTCAGATGAAGCTGGTCATTTCTTCTTCAATGGAAATACTGTGTTTGACAATCCTCAAAACTTCCATGTGGCCGGTACAGTGGTTAAATACCGACGTCCAAGCAGTATGTTCTCTGATGGGCTGGAGTACATCATCGCACAAGGGCCAATACAGCAGGACCTTAATGTTATGGTAGTACATAGACACACATGCACATACACACTTGCGTGGTGAATAGCACGGGTATTTTTATCTAATTTTTACATTTATAAGACAAGATCAAATTTTGTTCTAGTATGAAGCAGTTAATCTGCATCAGTATCATTATCTTTGTGTATGTAGTACTACAACTTGAATGGGAAGCTCCCCCACATCACCTACGAGTACACCATCCCCCTCAAGTCTTATGACAAGACTGCTCTAGAAGGAATCAACAAAAGCCACACCCACCCGCATCTTAACGTCACCTATAATAAGGTAAATGGGAATGCAAGAGTTGATCAAGTTAGGTTGACAAACCACAGCAGATGGAATATGACATCTGTTCATTGCTACAACACCCAGCTGGGAACTAATGAACAATCAGATGTCCAGACGGAGGAGGAAGAGGAGGAGGAAGTGGTATGGAAGATCCGGACACCCAGTCCTCCACCTCCAGTGGCTATGTTGGTCTACAGACTAGCTGAAGTCACCAGCCATGTATTCAGCCACAATGATGTGGAAGAGCAGGGACCTCCAGCGCCATCTGGCTACCGTGAGTCATTGATTGGTCTCTTGTAATAATTAATGGTGCGTTAACTAAGATTTTACGTTGTCTGATAAACCAAGTGAAATTGGGACAGAACGTCTGGTAAATCCCAATTCCCTTATTTGATCTTTCCACTGTCCTCTATCCTCACTCGACCTGGAAGTCAATCCAGTCGAGTGATGATTGAGGATGTCCCAAAGCTCTAATTCCTACTCTGAGGATCAAGGAGCCAAGAAGCTACTGGAGGTACCGTGAATGAGGATACACGAGAGAATCCTTCACAGAAGTCTTTTATGGACCAATGATCCCTTATCAAATATGCATCGGTGATTGGAGATTTCAGATTAAAGACTGTAGGAAAGGAAGCCTCATGTCTTTTAAAACCTGTTTCCTTGGTTCCTCGTGTCTTTTCCTTGCCTTTTACGTAGGCATGATTAAGACTCAAGGAAAGACAAGTGAGGGAAACGTAGACACACCTAAGAGACTTGGGATTCACCTGTTGTCTTACAGCTATACTGCCCCCCTCCATGACACTGGTATCTAACTACAGCTCTTTTGTTGTTATTCCAGCTTGTTATTATACCATGCTAAAAAAAAACTGGGCGGTGTTTGTTGGCCTTCGAAGGACTGAAACACCACCCAGTGGTATAAATACCTCCTGTTCACCACTAGTCAGAAAGAACTGATAAAGCCTCTTGGATGATAAGTGAAACGTTTTCTACCTAAAACTACATCCAAATGCCACCTTCTAAGTTTTTTCAGCATACTACGACCTGGATGACTGAGAATTTGCATGGAAACACTAATTATACTAGTGCTGTCAAACTAAATTAGTCCAACCTGCCACCTAGCAAATCAGTCGATCAAACTTTATTTCCAATTATTATTAATACACATGGAATTTGACTCCAGCTCAGTGGCTCCCAGTGCTTCTGTGCTGATAGTCCGGGTGCTAGATGTGGTTTTCCCCAAGCCTCACCTGCTGCTTCCTGTCAGAAAGCTAGTAATCCACTGACAGGTGGGGGCAGGCACAGTGAGCTGGGTTAGTTTGGAGTAGAGGATGTCTGGGATGGTGGTGTTGAATGCCAAACTGAAATCCACAAATACGATCTGTGCATAGGCCCCTGGTTAGTCAAGATGTTGCAGGATGTAATGCAGTGTCATGTTGACTGCATCACTGGATCATACAGGAAGGCATTCACCTATTTGCTGGGTAGGCAAACAGCAGGGGGTCTATGATGTCCTTCAGGAGGGCCAAAACCAGTCTCTCGAAACACTTCATGACTACAGATGTAAAAGCAACAGGTCTGTAGTCGTTTAGTTCACTGATGGAGGGTTTCGTGGGAACTGGAATGGAGTGTTTGAAGCAGGAGAGAACTTCACACAACTCCAGTGATCTATTGAGGATCTGTGTAAAGGTGGGAGCCAGCTGGTCAGCATGGACTTTCAGGCAGGAGGGGGTCACACCATCTGGTCCTGGTGCCTTTCTTGTTGTAAGAAGAATTTTGCAAACAGCCAGCCATGGATGACCTTCCTATGCCAGACTGAAGAGGCAAACACAACAAAAACTCTGCCATCCTTCTGAGCATTTAATGAACGCTTCGTCAACTAATTTCTGTTTCAAGTATTGGAGTTTGGCATTATGATGTAGTCTAAAAATTGAGTCAGCTTAGCTGTCAAAACAGGCATGACTAAGTAAATCCATCTTCTACAAACAATGTTGGCCATACATATCAAGTCAAGTCAAAGTGTTTGTCATATGCACAGTTAGGAAACGTGCTTCCCTGTACAATGAAATTCTTACTTTGCCGTCCACATGAATGCAACAAAATACAAATGAAATATAAAGTAGATAAATAAGTAACACAAAATCTAAGACACTTTAAGCAGCAAATGCAGAGGTATAATAAAAATATATAAGAATAGAGAGTGTATGCTGCATGGGAGCAGCATGTGCAGCAGTCAACAGTCAATGTACAATTATGCATGTGCAAACTGAGAATGTAAACAGTACAGGTTGTCAGTACATGACGTATTTCCTGGTAATAAACTCCTCAGCTGTTTAGGAGTCTGATGGCAGAGGGAAAGAAGGAGTTTTTCAGTCTAGAGGTCCTGCATTTCACACTTCTGAACCTCTGGCCAGAGGGTAGGGAGGTGAACAGTCTTGCTGGGGGTGGGTGGGATCTTTGAGGATGGAAGCAGCTTTTCTACGCACCCTGCGGTGGTAAAGGCTCTACTGAGAGGGCAGTGGAGTCCTGGTGATCTTCTCCACAGTCTTTACCACTCTCTGTAGGCGCTTGCGGTCCATAGCAGTAGTGCTGCCGTACCAGACAGTGATGCAGCTGGTCAAGATGCTCTCAATGATGCAGCTGTAGAAGTTGCTGATGATCCTAGGCGACGTGCCAAATCTCCTCAGCCTCCTCAGGAAGTACATCCGCCGTTGGGCCTTCTTGACCAGCTGTGTGGTGTTAAGTGTCCATGGCTGCAGTAATGCCACAGAGCTGGGACACTAGCTCTTTACTGAAGGTAACCTGTTACAGGTCGTCATTTATTCAGGTCTCTATTTATAAGTACTTTATCCTTATTTTTAATGCACATTCCTTTGTTTTTTGCACATTACTTCTATACTTTGTGTTCTCTCAGCCTTATATTGTTTACTTGCCCTTTGCTATTGCTGTACATAAGGATATGTACAGGAACATTGAGAGCCGCTGTACCAGAGTCAAATTCCTAGTGTGTCCTACACACCTGGCCAGTAAAGCTGATTCTGATTCTGAAGGCTACCTTTTGTACAGTTTGTCCCAACCAGGCATTCATAGCTCACATTAGAGCTTCAGGGAACAGGATGGGAGGGGCAAAGAGCAATAAGGAGTGGTGTGTAATGTGAGTTTGTTTTTTCCTATTTTGCCGAATGGTCAGTACACCAATGCTTCAGAACTTATCTTTGACATTTCCATACTGCCATACTATTTCTTGTTATTCTTTGGCCACACTGTAGGCCAGTATGCAGTACCCATGATAATATGGCTGGAATATTGTCCTGGCCAATTTATTGGTCAGGCTGTAATGCAAACTTGGCGAATTGCAGGTATCACTATCATTTGACAGATTTGGAAAGATCTGGATGTGGAAAAGATCTGGTAAGTTATTTAGGGCAGTGGTTACTGCTGTCACCTCACAGTAAGAAGGTTCCAGGTTTGAGCCCGGGCCATCCCAGGGCCTTTTTCTATGTGGAGTCTGTATGTTCTCCCTGTGCCTGCGTGGTTTCTCTCCAGGTACTCCAACTTCCTCACACAGTCCAAAGTCATGCAGGTTAGGTTGACTGGTGACTCTAAATTGCCCCTAGGAGTGAGTGTGTGTGTGGTTGTTTGTCTACATGCCAACCCTGTGATAGACTGGTGACCTGTCCAGGGTGGATCCTGCCTCTTGCCCGATGTCAGCTGGGATTGGCTTTTCTTTGCAGCATGTATTGGCCTTAACATTAGTGCTGTGGACTTATCTGTCTGTAATTGGTTCATTTCTTTTTGTTTTCTGTTCATTAAGGGAGTTCCTCCAATTTGATTGATGAGCCGTCCACTGCCGATGACACTCTAATGCTCTCTTTCCCAGGTAGATAAAACAATTTAAGCTTTTTCCCATAGTTTTAAAATAATACATAGACCTATGTTATTTGTTTCAAATATTATAATATGGTATGCAGGCTATATAAAGACAATAGAGCTGAAACTTTGACTTTAATATTTGCAAACACTTTTTGATTGTTCTTTATTTCTCCTTATGCCCATTGACAGGTAGTCAAAGTGTTCATTCTGCAGCCCTACCAGAAGAGACCCCCTATTTGGTGCTAGAGGGCCTACAACACAACCAGACAGGCTCAAGCACACACTCTGCTAAACACACACTAACTGATACTCATTCACCAGAAGAAACTCATATGAAAACCATGTCCTCTGCAGACACAGAAACACATACAGGTGTACACTCAGACATGCTCACAGATACTGACACACACTCAGACACACACACTACCATCTTGGTCCAGCTGCAACAGGTGTCTGCAGTCCAGGCAGCCAACACTGAAAGGTACAGCATGAGGGAGCAGCTATAGAGAAGATATTAGCTTAAAAGTCACTGATACCATTATACGCAGTTCAGGAGATGATAATGACATGAATCTTTAGTGTTTATTGTATTACTTGTACAGTAACTGGGATCATCAGTCATTTACTCTGTGCTTATAAGTACTACATCTCAAAGTGTTTAGATATTTCATGTTGAGGAGAATTCAAATTAATCCTGTGATTATTCCCCACATGATTTTTTTGTGGCAGGTTTATGTAACAGTATGGTGTATAAGAATGAAATGAGCCATTTGAACCAGTTTGTACAGTGATTTAATTTGTTTGTGTGTATATTTACTGTCTAGCTGCTATACTTACATTAGAGAACAGTTCATCACCAATTCAAGTTTGTAGTAGATTTGGGACTACTTTTATGGCTATTAATACCTTGTAATAATAATTTAAACTTTGGGGCACTGGGCTTTTTTATTTTGTGCGCCACACTGTAAACAATAAGTATTTGGAAAATGCAGAAAGAACAGCAAGAATTTGGAGAGAAAGGTTTTTAAGTCTTAGAAATGATGGGCTTTTAAGAGGGGTAACGATAATGAGACATCAAGCTTTAGCTATTTGGTCACTCAGCTGTCTTCCTTCTGATGCTGGCTAAGCCAGATCTTAGTCTCGGTGCATGGCTTTTTGGAAATGTCTTGAAGTAAATCGCGTCTGATTTACACTGATCGCCAGTGGATTGTTCTGATGCCGCCTCTATAGCTTAACACAGTTTGGCTGGATTTAAACTTAATTCTGTACTTTGTTTGCAAAAGTTCTGTGTCTATAAACTTTGGCTAGCAGACTTGCTGCTCTGAGATAAAGGGAGGTTGGACTCCAAGTTTATTTGCTGCTTTTGGGGTGTAGTCTCATCTGATTGGTTGGGAGTCTGCAAGCTGGGGTCCTCTGACTGGCTGAGACTCTAGCATCCTGGAAATGGGCTCCTGATTAGTTTTTTTAGAAGAGTGGAAGAGTTCATGGCCTGTTTCTGGGAGGGACTGTTGATTTAGATTTTATGAGAAATTAATCTTGTTTTAAGTTAATTTATATGGCTTATAACTTCCTCCCCACTATGGCTTGGCATTAGAAATACACACGATCAAAATATATGAACATTAAACAAGTCGTAGCTTCACCTTGTGCTGGTGGTTCAGGGCAGGGCCATCACCAGTACACTCCTGGTCCTTTAATATATACTGAATATCAGTCTGCATAGAGCTGGACACACCCACACTACACACTTTCACACAAACAAAATTTAAACATTAGACAAGGATAATGGAACGTTATATTCTGTGGAGAGAAAATAATGTTCCATTATCCTTGTCTAATGTTTGTCTACTGTCCCTGTTAGGCTAGTGGTTAAGGCGCAGCGTTCTCGCAGCTGTGGCCCGGGTTCGAATCAGGGTTGCGTCAGGAAGGGCATCCGGCGTAAAACACGTGCCAAATGTCAACATGCAAAACGGAAAAAAGCCGAAAGTGACTTTATATATTCTGTGGAGAACAAAAACATTAACTTTAGATTAACACATATCATAAACAATCCATTATTAGCTAGGTTAATTATAAAATAGACAAGTGCATATATACTTGCCTTTCTAAACTGTGGTGTTTTAACACTTTGGGAAAGTTAGAACTTGTCATGATGAATAAAATAACTGTCTGTAAAGGCTGCTTTACAGTAGATGGAGTTAGATTAGTACTGTATGTAGATGTAGTATGTACAATAGATGTCCAATATCAATCACAGGGTGTCACCAGTGGCCCATCAAATTATTTGAAGAATGAAAGCATTTTTTCCTGTGTGAGGCTGAGTTTAAACATATTTATATCAGCTTTATCAAAGCATTTCTAAACTTTCTTTTAGACATTCCACGCAACTCGTGACTATCATAATTTCCAGTTCTCAGATCTAAAAACATTTTCACTTCTATAAAGATAGAGAAAGAAGCAAATACTAAACCATCTTTATGGTGGTAACAGAGAGGAGTCTTGCTCCGCAGTGTCCTGTTCTCTTGAGAAAGAATCATATAAGGGATTAGATGTCCTATGAAGAAGAAGTAGTTAAAATCCTTTTTTGTTTTTGTTTCTCAGATTCTGTTGTCTGAGGTCAGGGTGCTAAGTCAAACACTGTGTTCCAATTGTGAGTGAAGTCTCTACTTCTCACTGCCGGAAAATAAATGTTTGGTCATTTAGTTATTGATCTTCTGGGTTTATCAGAATATATAGGTCTTCCCAAGATGATTCCTGGTCTTGTGGACACTACACACAAGTTTCTTTGTGTGAATGAGGTGTAGTGTGAGTGTACGCAACACTATGCAGTCTGGTATGTATATTAAAAAAAAAAATGGATGGAGTGATAAAAATTAATAAATTCAGGGGGAAAGAGGAGAACACTAAATTGAAAAAAGTTAATTTGGTTGAGAATTGAAGTGGGTAAACTCTTTCCTTT